TTGACTTCTTTATATATATATATATATATGTGTGTGTGTGTGTGTGTGTGTGTGTGTTTTATATATTTATTTTGTATTTTATATGTTTATTTTTATATGTACTAGTGAGTATACCTTTGAAAACTATTTAATATATAATATTATATAATTATATGATGTATATTATACATGATATAAATATACATTTTGTTGCTTTATATATTTATGTAGAGGTTTTATTTTTATTAATGTATTATGAATATATATTTTATATTTAATATGTGTATATTTAAGCACTATGTAAGTATAAGATCAAAAAATACATATAGTATTATATAATATATATTAATATTCTTATAGTTAATAAACATCATTGAAATGTAATCAAATATGATAATCAATCAAATACAATCAAATGTTGTACATGTACATTTACTGTTTTATTACGGTAGCTCTGATTTATTTTACATGCTGAATCCAGTCATCTCTTTTTACATCACTGCTATATGTGAAACTAAAGGTCAGAGGTCATGGAGGAGCAGAGTGGGTCACCGGGGGCCAACACAGACAACAGCAGCCAGCGCAATGGAGAGGAGGTGAGCAGATCATGTGATCGTTGAGCCCGCGCTGTCTTTGCACAGGTCGAGCGGCATTAATGAGTTAAGTGAATGGTGTTTTTGGTAGAAACCTCGCAGGAGCAGCTGGACCAAAGGCAGGAGGAGGAAGAAGCCACTGAAGGACAGTAATGCCCCCAAAGCCCCCTTAACAGGATACGTGCGCTTCATGAATGAGCACCGCGAGCAGCTGAGGGCGGAAAGACCAGACATGCCTTTCCCAGAGATCACCAGGATGCTCGGGAATGAGTGGAGCAAACTGCCTCCGGAAGAGAAACAGGTCAGGATACACATGTGTAATACATACACTACCATTCAAACGTTTGGAATAATTCATGTTTTTTATGTGTTTGTGTTTGAGAAATATTATTACAATTTAAACTAACTGTTTTCTATAGTAATATGTTTTATAATGTAATTTATTCCTGTGACGCAAAGCTGAATTTTCAGCATCATTACTGCAGTCTTCAGTGTCACATGATCCTTCAGAAATCATTCTAATATGCTGATTTGCTGCTCAATAAATATTATGTTGAAAACAGGTGTGCTGCTTAATGTTTTTGTGGCAACCATGATTTTTTTATTTATTTCTTTTCCAGAAAATAACAGAATCATGTGACTGAAGACTGGAGTAATGATGCTGAAAATTCAGCTTCAAATAGATATTCAAATAGAAAGCAGTCCTTTTAAATTGTAATAATTTTTCACAATATTACTGATTTTTACTGTATTTTTGCTTTGGTGAGCGTAAGAGAGTTCTTTCAAAAACATTAAAATATCTTAATAATTCCAAACTTTTGATCACCAGTGTATAAGGTTTCAAAATAAAGCCTCTGCAGAGACTAACACCGCTCTCTGTCTCATTCTGTCTCAGCGCTATCTGGATGAAGCGGACAAAGATAAGGAGCGCTACATGAGAGAACTGGAGCAGTATCAGAAGACTGAAGCCTATAAACACTTCAGTAGGAAGGTGCAAGAGAAACAAAAAGGAAAGAGACACAGAGGAGGTGCGAACACGGACAATCTAAGGCACAGTTCAAAATAACTGATGGCAGGTGAATTTAGACAAAGCTGCAGAAAAGAGTGACAGTCACAGGCAATCAGAGCACATGTGATGTTTCCTATAAAGCAGTGCGGAGCAGGATTTTGGACCAATGAGGTTTCACAGAGGGTGGTGCTACACAGTAACTCAAAAATAGAAATGAAGAGACTGACAAAATGTGGAGCATCACAAATCGCTTGTCTAATCTAAAATTCCTCTTTTGCACTCTTTATCAGATGCTGGAAGGCAGGTGCCTGGTGAATCACTTCATGAGGTAAAACATCGACACCGAGGCCCACACAGAATCTGCACCTTTTTTTTTCCAGGTCATAGAAAATCTGGAATTAACAGATAATTTAGTTTTTCAAGTCTGGAAATGTTATGGGAAAAAAATGATAAAATCCTAAACTCTTTAGTCAACATCTGTTTTTATACTTTATATGTTTTTATATTATTCTAAAATATTTAATTTGCCATTTTTGTGCAATGATTTTTATGAAGTTATCTAATAATCACAAAAGACTGGAAAAGTAATGGAAAATAAAATGTTAAACAAAAGTCATGACTAACTATATTCAATATCTTGTCTATTTTTGTAGTTTTATTTATTTGAATAAATATAATACTACATAATAAAATATAATAACATAATAAAATAAGGTTAAAATATTTAATTAGCTACAATTTTTTATAAAGAGATTTTAATTAAAAAAATCAAGTAGTCATAACCTACTGGAAAATGACTACAAAATCCACAGAAATTAATAAAATCTGAATAAAGTCATAGAAAATTGTAATATACCTACTTTTTTTCTGAAATATTTAATTAGCTATCTTTTTATTAAAAAACTTTTTTTTTTTAATTATCCAGTAATTTCAAACTACTAGAAAAATTAATGGAATTTAAGTCATGGAAAACTGAAATATTTAATTAGCTACAATTTTATATAACTTGTTTATGAAATTATCTGTTAACCATAAACTACTGGAAAAGTCATGTAAATTAATAACTAAATTAATTAAAGGTGCTGTATGTAAGTTTTTGACTCTACTAAAGCATAAAAATACCATAATATGTTTGCAGATATTTAAGAAACATGCTAAGTTAACATACTTGTTTGTATTTCGGCACCCCGGGTTGCCAGTTGGTGGAAAATCCAGCGTATTTAATTTCATTCATCGTCAAGTGCGCTCGTTCCTGTTGGTGTCTTCAATCTGGCAACCTGTGAGTGCGTCACGTCTGAGGAGGAGGGGCCGGGTGAAAAAAACCCTCTCCAATATTTTGAATTTGGACTGCAATACCTAGTTCAACCACTCGGTGTCAATCCTACATACAGCACCTTTAATAAAATCTTACACAGTCATGGAAAACTCTTCACTTTTATTTTATTAATTTCCCTAGATTTTTTATTTAAGTTATATTTTTGTATATATTATATATATATATATATATATATATATAAGTTATATTTTGTATTTCTTTTTTTGTCTTTTGAAAATTGTATAAAATAGTTAATAGGCTACACTATTAACACTACACTACACTAAAATGATCCAGTAATCACAAACAACTGGAAAATAGAAATGTGTTGGTCAAAAGATGTGGAAACCCTTATTTAAATATGATCAAATTTGTGTTAAATGATGTTGAGGTTACTGCACTGTTATTGATAGCTGGAACATGATCAATTTAGTCAAAATATTGGCTAGGGTCAAATAATGACCCTCCTTTACTGTCACGTTTGAGCAATTTAGAGCCTCCTTGCTGAAAAAAAAATTCAATATTAAAAATAAATATTATAAATAAAATATATTTTCGACAAAATCTTTTCTTTTTGTTTTTTCAAAATCGTTTGCTTTGTTTATGGTTCCATCATATAACTTGCTTTGTTTTATTTCCAAACAAGCTTCTTCATTATATTTGTGACCCTGGACCTTAAGTGTCCAGTCTTAAGTGTCAATTTTTTTTAAATTGAGATTTATACATCATGTGAAAGCTGAATAAATAAGCTTTCCATTGATGTATGGTTTGTTATTTGGCCGAGATACAACTATTTGAAAATCTGGAATCTGAGGATGCAAAAAATTCAAAATATTGAGAAAATCGCCTTTAAAGTTGTCCAAATTAAGTTCTTAGCAATGCATATTACTAATCAAAAATGAAGTTTGAATATATTTACAGTAGGAAATTTACAAAATATCTTCATGGAACATGATCTTTACTTAATATCCTAATGATCTTTGGCATAAAAGAAAAATCGATCATTTTGACCCATACAATGTATTTTTGGCTATTGCTACAAATATACCCCAGCGACTTAAGACTGGTTTTGTGCTCCAGGGTCACATCTGTGTGATTTGTACAAGCTTTGTGATCCTAAATTCTAAAAACAAGTGACTAGAAGGATGTTTCATCTGTGAATCAGATGCAATGGTAAAATCATTAGAAACAGAAATAGAAATTCAAATAGAAAGTGCTATACAATGACAATAAAAGCTTTCTGTTTCTAAGAAGGATGTTTCATCTGTGAATCTGATGTTAGTAGTATGTGAAAGATATGTGGTGTACTTTTCCTGACTGTCCTTCCCATGTGCCTGCAGGCAGCGGCGAGACGCCCACACTCGATTCCATCGACTCCTACATGAAGAAGCTTCACGGCATCATTCTGTCCAACCCACAGGAGCACCAGCACCTGCTCAGCAGCGTCAGGGATGTGGTCAACCGCCTCGACAGGTAGCTGCACACCACACTATTCCTGCTTTCTCTGTAAATATTAACCAGAGTGTGATAATGCACTGCTCTGATTCACCCACAGGTAATTGAGAGGCCCCACCCCTCGTGCAGTAGCCCCTCCTATCCTGCTATGACCACATTTTGTGTTAAGCACTTATTCAATTGTTTCCTATTATTTATTTTTTTACAATGCTGTTTTTATCTGCTTATTTTTATTTTTTTATTTAGCAGTTCACGTTTGCCATGCATTCAAAAAAAAAAAAAGCAACAACATTATTTTAGCAATGGTGGGGTTTCATCTGCATGGGTACATGATTTTAAGCTCAATTTTATACTTGTAATTTCTTTCATGTTAGGTAAGAAAGTGAAATGTTGTATTTGTGTGATGAGAGGCAGGTTCATCTGTAGCTTGTGTCTTTGTGCTGGAGTTCTGAATTCCCTGTATGTTCTTGACATTTGAAGAATTCAATAAAGCAAATGTATGAAGACACTGATGAGTGTCTGATTCTCTCTCTGCTTCAGCTCGTTTGCTGGATGGTTGCTATTAATTAATTAGATTTTGTTCCTTCTGGGACAGCAGTGTTATAGTTCTCAGCACAGACAGTCTGCTGTGCTGCACACACTCTGTAAGGCTGGTACTGAACAGCTGTAAGCCAGTTGGGCTAAAGCAGGTGTGAATTAAAGGCTTTTTTTATATGAATAAAACGGATGTCTGGGGTGAGATACGGTGACTCTGGTGTTTTTATGTAATGCAGGAGTGCTGTATAAAATAGTCAAGTTACCATAATACAATACAGACTGTTTCGAAGCAGATTCACAGTAATGAACAGGGAAATAATGTTATCAATGATGACGTGAACTTCAAATATGAAACCATTTTAAATACTGCTTACAATGTATTGTTGGCTATTGCTACAAATATACCCCAGCGACTTAAGACTGGTTTTGTGCTCCAGGGTCACATCTGTGTGATTTGTACAAGCTTTGTGATCCTAAATTCTAAAAACAAGTGACTAGAAGGATGTTTCATCTGTGAATCAGATGCAATGGTAAAATCATTAGAAACAGAAATAGAAATTCAAATAGAAAGTGCTATACAATGACAATAAAAGCTTTCTGTTTCTAAGAAGGATGTTTTATCTGTGAATCTGATGTTAGTAGTATGTGAAAGATATGTGGTGTACTTTTCCTGACTGTCCTTCCCATGTGCCTGCAGGCAGCGGCGAGACGCCCACACTCGATTCCATCGACTCCTACATGAAGAAGCTTCACGGCATCATTCTGTCCAACCCACAGGAGCACCAGCACCTGCTCAGCAGCGTCAGGGATGTGGTCAACCGCCTCGACAGGTAGCTGCACACCACACTATTCCTGCTTTCTCTGTAAATATTAACCAGAGTGTGATAATGCACTGCTCTGATTCACCCACAGGTAATTGAGAGGCCCCACCCCTCGTGCAGTAGCCCCTCCTATCCTGCTATGACCACATTTTGTGTTAAGCACTTATTCAATTGTTTCCTATTATTTATTTTTTTACAATGCTGTTTTTATCTGCTTATTTTTATTTTTTTATTTAGCAGTTCACGTTTGCCATGCATTCAAAAAAAAAAAAAGCAACAACATTATTTTAGCAATGGTGGGGTTTCATCTGCATGGGTACATGATTTTAAGCTCAATTTTATACTTGTAATTTCTTTCATGTTAGGTAAGAAAGTGAAATGTTGTATTTGTGTGATGAGAGGCAGGTTCATCTGTAGCTTGTGTCTTTGTGCTGGAGTTCTGAATTCCCTGTATGTTCTTGACATTTGAAGAATTCAATAAAGCAAATGTATGAAGACACTGATGAGTGTCTGATTCTCTCTCTGCTTCAGCTCGTTTGCTGGATGGTTGCTATTAATTAATTAGATTTTGTTCCTTCTGGGACAGCAGTGTTATAGTTCTCAGCACAGACAGTCTGCTGTGCTGCACACACTCTGTAAGGCTGGTACTGAACAGCTGTAAGCCAGTTGGGCTAAAGCAGGTGTGAATTAAAGGCTTTTTTTATATGAATAAAACGGATGTCTGGGGTGAGATACGGTGACTCTGGTGTTTTTATGTAATGCAGGAGTGCTGTATAAAATAGTCAAGTTACCATAATACAATACAGACTGTTTCGAAGCAGATTCACAGTAATGAACAGGGAAATAATGTTATCAATGATGACGTGAACTTCAAATATGAAACCATTTTAAATACTGCTGTAAAACAACTGCAAAAATGCTGTGTAGTGCATGATTCAGCTCAATTCAGTTTAGAACTAAATTGATTCAAAATAAAAGTAATTGCAACTAAAATCACAATTCCGACTTTTCTTCTCAGAATTGTGTGTTTATATCTCCCAATTGTGTGTTAACAATTTTGCAATTTTGAGATTGGCTACAGCTGCACTGGCAATTCTGGGACATGTGTAATTTCCTCTCTGTTGCCATGTCCATTTCCTGTCAAACAGCAGGACTTCCTGTCATCTGTCAGGAATAAGGTGTATGTCATTCATTGCACAGGAAGGTCAGATGACTAACTTCCTTTTAAACCTTGTGTCCTTCACTGTCTAAAATAAAGCTAAATAAAAGTAATAATAAATAAGTAAAATAAAAAATTAAAGGGATAGTACATCCAAAAACTTCATGTTGTTCAGAATTCTTACCTGGAACAAAAGTTACATTTTGAAGACATTTTTTCTATGTCTGATTTGTGAACAGCTAATTATTTTGAATTGGATCTTGTCAGTGAGTCAGTTCATCACAAAACCAGTTCAAATGATTCATTTGTGAATCAGACTCTGGTTCTTAAGTTCAACTTACTGACTCAGTGATTACCACTGAAAAAAAAGTACATTTTCACTGCTATTGTATATTTTTAGAACACTTTGAATATAGTTATATAGACGACTTTTTATAAAATGTTATGGTGTTTTTGCATCTTTTTTTAAGCCTGAATGCTTTGGTCCCCATTCATTGAAATTGGAAGGAAAAAACTGAATATGCTTTTAAAAAATCTCTTTTTGTGTTCCACAGAAGAACCCAGAAGTAATCTGGGTTGGTAACAGCATGACATTGAGTAAATTGAATTGTCATTTTTGGTCAACTTTTCCTTTAAACTCTCATGTTTATAAACTGTTACTCTTTCTCTCTCTTTCGCCCAAAGTGAAAAGCGACTGCTGATCTGAGGCCTTCTGTTTGAGTGCAGGGATCCAACTGAATGCAAGAACTCATAATCAAATCATAAAATGAGACTCCCTTTGCCCTCGAGATGTTTTTCATTTCCTCAAATGAGAGAAACAACATATCAAAGAGGAGAGGAGAAAGGAGGAGAGGAGAGGGGATCCGTCAGGGTTAGGATGTGACGTGTGTGAATCATGAGATGTGGAGCTCATTTCCTGTCTCTTATACACATCCACCCTGAACCCGCAGACAATGGAGTCACACAAACCAATAACCCACACACAACACTTTCTCTGAATCAGCTTTGTCCTGTCATGGGGGAATAGGATTTTCCTGCGTTTCCGCACTGATGACGGTCTACTTCTGTCATTCTCATTCTTCAATATTCTGCTATAAATGTGGTTTGTGGAAAAAAATATTTCTCAAATTGCATTGAGATCTTTCATTAAGAGCTACGGTCAGATATGTATTCGATTAATATTGTAGTGATGGTTTATGCATGAGTTTCAGCTGACGCAAAAGAAAAATAGCTATTGGCTTTCAGGAATAATTTATGCCTTTCTTTCCTCTGTGGGACACAAAAGAAGAGCGTAATGTTCACGCTCCTCTTTTTTACAACAATGAAAAGCATATAGCAGCCAGCGGCTGTCAAGCTCTATAATGGTCAAATAAGTACCATAAAAGTAGTAAAAACAGTATGGAATATTGCACGGAACGGCATGGAATGATTTCGAATATAGCAGCATTAGTTCAACAGATCTCAACCGAAATGCAATGAGATTACACTGAGGTTTCTAACATTAAGATATGTTGAATGCTTTCATCAGAAGTTTCCCATTACTGTAAATGTGTTTTCTGATGTTATCTATAGACATTAGGTTGAAAACAACCCACAATGCACCTCTCAGAAAGATCTGTTTTCAAACTGTTTCGATTTCACCGACTCATAATGAGTCTGTAGGGGGATTTGAGGCCTCAGGAATACTGCATTTCTGAATGACGCTGTCATTCATTCACTTCATAATCATGCACATAGTATTTGTATGTGGTTTTGCAGTCATGTTGTACTGTTCTCTGTCTACAAGTATGTACTTATTGTGCTTTACTTTGAGGGCTTCAGAGATGATGAATTTTTGCAGGCCAAAAGCCAAACAAGTTAGCATTTTAGCATTTCAAGTTCCATCACCCTAAAGTCACTGGGTTTTATGAACGGGGTTTTGCCAGAAATAAGGTCTGTGTAGAACACAAGCTCAAGATATTCTCATGTTTTATACTACAGCATAAATACACCCTTTTTTTAAAAAGCTTTTACTTTCTAGAAAACGGCGGTTGCTAACAAATGGCTAAATACAGAGGTTGTCGGGTTTGTTAAACGGCATCACAGCGAACAAGTAAACTCATCTACTCACCAGTCTGCATTTACAGCCTCATTGTGTTTATTATTATGCTCTTTTGAACTTTCATAACTCAAACTTTTACAGAAAATGTTTTTAAATCAAGACAGAAAGAGTCGTTGGAAGCTTAATGGTGGTCAATGTTGTGGAAAGTTACTTTTAAAAGTAATGCATCACAATATTGCGTTACTCCATAAAAAAAGTAACTAATTACGTTACTTAGTTACTTTTTATGGAAAGTAATGCGTTATATTACTTTTGCGTTAGTTTTAAATCTGGACAGGGCTTGCTTGTTTGTTTTTAAAATAAAAAAATTATATTTTTGGCAAATATAAAAGCCCTTTCACACCAAAAGTGAAATGAATAAGCCTCAGGCTGAAGGGAAAGTAACTTTACGTCCGTACAGTAGAGTGCAGAAGAAGACATTTCAACACACTTCAGCAATAAAAAAAGACACACAAATGTTGTCTAGAGTAATTTGTGCTTATTAGTATGGTTGAACTGGATCATCGAAGGTCAGAAGCAAAGACATTGGTTAATAGAATGGGATTAAATACATAAAGGATATTTGTGTTGTTTAACATTTAATTATTGCAGGTTTGCGTCATATTCTGAGTTGCATTATTTTTATAAATTTTGAGGAATACTGAATCTGTGTTTTTTTGTGAGTGAGATTAATGAATGCATATTCATATTTATTTTAGAACTACAGTAACATCTTCTGATTTCTCTCAACATGGGGACAGGAGAGCTGTCAATCAATAAATTGGGGAAAAAAAAGTAACTTGCGTTACTTATTTGAAAAAGTAACTCAGATATTCTCTTGTAAATTAAAAAAGTAATGCGTTACTTTACTAGTTACTTGAAAAAAGTAATCTGATTACGTAACTCGCGTT